CTGCCAGTTCCTGGAGTCAGCTGGGAAAAACTGACAAACTCTAAGGACAACCATTATCCAGAGGTACACTTTGAGACAACCTTGCAAACTCAAGTCAGGGTCACCAGCCAGTGGAGTTAAGAGGACTGAAGAACTGTTTGCAAAGGTAGCAAGAAACCATTTATGACTACTGGAGTGATGACTACCTATGGGACTGAAAATTAAAAACTTCCTTAGAATTAAAATTACTATGTTATCTTACTTGCACCTATAGAAAAACCTTCATTCATTGATGTAATTGTTCTCCTTCCCTTTCTCATAAATAACCCTTACCTTCTCTACCTAATCTCCTAATAAGAACACCATTTGGGTTTCTGACTGAATCAGTGCTTCCCCAATAGATGTTCTTTTGATTTCAAATAAATGCTGTTGCCTCTTACTTGGCCTTTTATTTGTAGGTTAGCAAATCTAAGGACACAGAAGAGGTGGGCATGAACTACTAAGATATATGCTCAGGAGACCTTACAGCCTCTACTAGGTTAAATAGTGTCTCCCCAAAATTCATGCCCACCTGGAACCACAGAGTGTGACCTTATTTGGAAATGGGGTTATTTTCAGGTGTAATTAGTTAAAAAGAGGTCATATTGCTTTAGGGTGAACCCTAAATCCAATGACTAGTGTCCTCATAAGAAGGTCCCATGAAACATAGACAACAATGGGAAGCTATGTGGCTGCAAAGGCAGAGATTGGAATGGTGCAGCAATAAGCCAAGGGACATCAGAGATGGCTGGCAACCAACAGAAGCTAGAAGACAAGAGGGGATTCTTCTCTAGAGCCTTTAGAGGGAGCATGGCTCTCCTGACACCTTCATTTCAGACTTCTAGCCTTCAGAACCATGAGACAACAAATGTATGTTGTGTTAAGCCACTCAGTTTGTGGTTACTAAGAAAGTAATTCAGAGCCTGAGAGTTATTTTCAGGGAATGTGTGGGAAGCTCTAAATTTTGAAAATGCTCCTACAGGAAAAAAAAGTATTGTTTGTTAAAAAAAACAACATTCAATTGAGTAAATGTGAAGTTCTAATTGGATTTATTGAGTGATTCATGAATTGAGGGAACATCCCATCTAGCAGCTAAACGGGAATTCTGAAGTGCTATATAAAATGGAAGGTCTTTTTATAGGAAGCAAAGTAGAGCAAGGGAATGATTAAGAAAAGAAAGGTTTATTTTTGGGCAGTACATCTTTCTGGGGGCGGGGGAAGAGTGGGAACAGTTTTTATCATGCAGATTACCTTTTCTTTCCATAGGGGAATGGAGAGGGCTGAGTGATATACTACCTTACTAGTGCTTGGCCAGAACAGTCCTACTGATTGACTAAAACTGCATTTCTGGGAGAGTTGAAGTAGCAGTTATGTTAAGTATTAAATCAAGGTTTGGCATCATGGGATGTTAGCATGAGTGACACCACTTTGGGCCTGTGGTTTTCTTGGTTTTTGCGGGGTCTGGGAAGTCACATAATGTTCAAATATTTTGAAATATCTTTAAAAAATAAACAAGCAGTAAAATCTACACCTGTGGGCTTAGGAATGTGACCTTAAACCAATCAGTCTGGAATTTCCCGATCAACACTAGTGAGGTAATCTGCCTGATAAGACTCCTGTCACCTTTCCTTCAAAGGCAGGTGACCTGGCCTAAACATTCTTTTTTTTTTTTTTTAACTTCTGATAATAAAGTTTTTTACTTTCTTGCTCCACTCAGTTTCCTAGAAAAACTTTTAATTTGTACAGGCCCTAGTAGCATCTCTCTTATTATTTACTAGATGGGATGCTGCCAGATTTATGAATCTTTCAAAAAGCCAAGCAGATCCTCAAATTTACTTAGTTGGATTTTTTAACAGCTGCTGTTATGAATGGTAATTAGCAAGACCTTTCTAGAGGGCAATCCAGCAAGAATTTCAAAAAGTCTTCAAAATATGCATACCTGATGAATCAGCAATTTCTATACCTTTAATTTTACTTTAGAATTAAGGTGGCATTTATCTTGGAAATTTTTGAACTGCTAGCATAGTGTAGTGAAGACTGGATTTCCAAAGTTTGCCTGATGGGAATGAATCACTGGTGAGTGAAATGCCTGTAGGTTTCTTAGGTCTAAAGAGGAGATAGGCAAGTTTGAGAAATGCCACTGGGTGGTTCTCAGCCCAAAGTGCACACTACATTCACTTGGGGAGGGGTTTGAGTTTTTATTCTGTAATACCTGAGTCATCATCTATGGGAATGGGACCAGGCACTACAACACCCCAGAGACTTCAATGTGCAACCACGACCCAGAAATCAGTGTCCTAGGGCAGGCTAAGTAAAAAGTTGCACACCAATTTTGGAAATGAATATTTTTTCTTTTTTTATAAAGATTTAATTTTTTTTTTATTTTTAGAGAGAGGTGAACAGAAAGAGAAGGGGAGAGAAACAACAATGTGTGGTTGCCTCTTGCGCACCCTGTACTGGGGACCTGGCCTGCAACCCAGGCATGTACTCTGTCTGGGAACCAAACTGATGACCCTTTGGTTCATAGACCTGCGCTCAACCTACTGAGCTATACCAGCTGGGGCTAGAAATGAATACTTATTGAAACCATTCCCTTGAAATCTTGTTAAAATGACTGTCATGAGTGTATGCTCATGATATAGTCTTTCCTACAAGTCAGCCTTTGGTCTCCACTCAGATTGTCTGATCCAGACCTTAAGAACCAAAAGCACAAAGCATACCTGTAGGACCACTAGTCCTATAGGTGACACTGTTACAGAATGGACCCATAGTGGGGGACAAGATACTATTACTGAATGGACCCCCCTCTTCTAGGGTCCCCCTTTACTAGGTTCACCTTGTTCTCTGCCAGGGAAGTACGGCTCTCAATGTCAGAGGTTGGTGAAAAGGAAAGGAATTACTTATTTATAAGTTAGACAGGCTTAGAGTAATGACTTAATGTCTTCATTAAAATCCCAAAGTCCCTTAAAACACCCACAAACACACACAGTCCTTCCTTCCCCACTTTGCCCAGTCGGGGGCAATGTATCTCAGGAAAAGAAATAGAAGTCTGTCACTCAAGTAGCTTCCAGTTCTTCCCAGTAATCTGTGCTCAGCTGGCAGGCCTCCCATGGTTCCCAGCACCACCGGCTGTGTCTCCAGGATCTCCAGTTCTTAATCCAAACCTGAGTGCCACCTTCTCTTGGCCCAGCAGCAAGAGTCCTTTCACCCCTTTCCTTCCCACAACATCTCTCCTGCATTCTTCCAAACTGCCAAGAGAGAGCTCTGCATCTCTGCTACATCTTGCTTTCCAGCTTCCTAAACTGAGTGGCAAAGGGAGCCCCCAAACCATGTGGTTTCATCCAAAGCCTCAGGTTCCCTCCAACCTCAAGATTGCATAGTTCTCCTGCATGGCTACTGTACCTGGGTTTAAATCCTGGTGCAAATTTTCCTCTGCATCCCCATATCCAACTCCTACCACAATCAGCTACACCTGTCAGCATTCTGTATTTTCCCAGCTTTTCTGGACTGAATAAACTTGGGCAGGCATGGCCCCATGGCGTGCAGCCAACAATCTCCAAGCTCTCAGACAGGTGCTCTAATCAGGGGGAGCTGTCTCCCAGTTATGTTCTCTCCCTAGCTCAAAGCATGGCCACAGCTACTCATGGTAGCTGCTTATCACAACAGTTTATCTTATGAAACCAAGCAAAAGTTATAGATATGTTAAATGACCATTCTTGCAGTTATTTGAAAAATTGTTGATATGCAAAATAACTCTCAATGGCACTGTTCTATATGTCCCATCCCCAAGTTCAGACTTGTGGGGTTGAGGACATTCTATATTTTTAATATTTCCTGGACACCTCAAGTTCTGGACCCCATCACAAATCCCTCTTGGGATGGGGGGCCCTGGCTGCACCTTGTTTACAATACCAGCAGCAAGAAATAACAGGGAGCCAACACAGGTGACTATGTTATTCATTTTGATCTTATTAACTAGATTCTCTCAGATTTAATGAATGCAGATTTGATCCAAATCTATATTAACCTATTAACAATACTAGTCACTCAGAAACAACGAGTAATAACGTCATATGAGAGAATTGGGAGATAATTAACCTGAGTCCCAGAGTTTCCGTCCCAGAGTCCAGGAGACCCAATGGGTGAGCAAGAGAGTCATCAATGCCTTGCAAGGAAGGATCTCCAGAGCCAGATGGGCAGCAGGGCAGACGAAGTCCTCAGTCCAGCAGGGCAGAACCTGCTGCAGCTGATGCCAAGAGAGATCATTGTGGCAAGGAGCAGCACTCTGGTGTGTGGAGCTCAGCTGTCTCAGCAATAGTCTTAAGCCTGCCTCAGTCATACCTTTGAGAGTGGTGTACTGTACCCTTCTGGGTCTCTTGATAGGTGTCTTGGCACCCCTGATAGTAAGCAGGGCATTTCCCCAGGAGCTAATCTGTGGGTGGTCCCACCCTGCAGACATGGCTCTTCTGATCACATGTGCAGGTATCCTGGGTATGTCTCCTTGCCAGATGTGTCCAGCATGACTTGGGTAGTTTCTCTCTTGAACCAAAGTTATGGCTGACTACATTTTGTTTTATGTACTTTATGATATTTTGACCACATAATGCCATTTTATTTGTCCTGCTCTCCACAATGACCATGCATAAAAGCTGTCATGCAGTGTGATTCCATTTCTGCAAAAAAGGAGTGTAAGACTAGAAAGTTACTTGGGTAATGTGTGATGTATTTAGTTACTTGCACTTTCACTGTAACTAAACTTTTTTCCCATAGTCATGTGCGTTATATTAATTAAAGTATTTTGAATCCAAGAATCTCTGAACAACGTAGCCCATATTTCCAGGGACTGCCTTGAAAGCCCCTTAAGCATTGTGTGGACCTGAACCAAATCCTGAGGCCAAACTGCCCATATCTCCGAAGCCTGGGACGGCCCAGGCAGTTCCGCCGCACTTCCGGTCTCTTGATCCCGCCCACCCTGAGGCTCCGGATCCCCTCAGTGCCCATGCTCCACAACCCTTGGTTTTGCTCAGTGCCACCCACCTCCTTTGCGGTCTGGCTTCCTCAACGTGTTTACTTTGCGACTCTGTCGCGTAACACCACGCTTTACGGTCTTGGAGACTGAGTCAGGCGTCGCCATGGCCACACCCTCGGAGAAGCATTCCTGGTGAGTGGTTTTGATGCCCGGCGTGGGGGCGAGAGCGGAGTGTGGCCGGCTTTTCGTCGACGCGGAACAAAGAGTGGTCCCGGAAGCTGCGCCGTCGGCGTCCAGGGACGGCCGGAGGGGCTCCAACAGCAGTGGCAGAGGCGCGGCAGACGCCTCCTGGACTGGGAGTACCGGCCGGGTGGGCTTCCCGGGAAGGATGAGTTTGACACCGAAGGAGCTCTCGAGCCTGCTGAGCATCATCTCTGAGGAGGCCGGCGGCGGCAGCACCTTCGAGGGCCTGTCTACCGCCTTCCACCACTACTTCAGTAAGGCCGACCACTTCCGCCTGGGCTCGGTGCTGGTGATGTTGTTGCAGCAGCCGGACTTGCTGCCCAGCGCTGCGCAGCGGCTCACGGCGCTCTACCTGCTCTGGGAGATGTACCGCACCGAGCCGCTCGCCGCCAATCCCTTCGCTGCCAGCTTTGCGCACTTGCTCAATCCCGCACCGCCGGCCCGGGGCGGCCAGGAGCCGGACCGGCCGCCGCTCTCAGGTGCGTCCAGCAGGCATCCGAAGCCAGTGGGTGTGTTGTGGGTAGTTAGATTCGTCCGCTTTCCGCCTGCAAGTGAAATGAAATCTGAAACGATATCCTCAGCCTCCAACTCTAAAGTATGGATAAGTGGCAGTTTAATTACAAATTGATGGCATCGAAAATAATCCTCTCAGTAGTACAGGCCCTCAAGTCATGAAGCGCCGTGTGGAGCTTGACATTTTTGTTTTGTTTTCTCAGTTCACGTTTTAATAGAAACTACACAAAATAAAAGGTGATGCTCCGCTACCGTACACGTCAGTTGACCTGCTCCATACGTTCAGGCCATTTCCTCCAGAAAAAGAAAGGCTGGCCTCCCCAAACCTTGCAGGAAAGGCAAGGCCTGTTTTGTCCCATACCACATCAGGCCTTAACATCTTGTGTTTTAATCATGACAATAGTAAAAGAGGTTTTTTTCTCATGGCTGTACACTGCCACCACGACCCTATAAAGGCCCGGTGCTCACTTCTGCTTAGAAAAATATTCTTTGCTCTTCTGGATGCCAGGCTTGGTGGTATCACTGCCAAATTTCCAGCCAGCTGGGCACATTTCCCTATGTGCGTCACTGAACTAGTCTGAGAGTTTCATCCACAGAGTGGCCAACAGGAAGATCATTTATGGTGGTGTGGTGAGTGATACCATTTTTCACCAATAGTGAGATGCCTTCATCAGCTTTTAAGATCCCATAGTCCTGAGCAATAGCGTGCTTGGGGTCTGAATCAAGGGAATGTTCATGGATCCCAGTCCTCCTTGTTTTCTGGGTGTGTTGATCCATGCCAGGTGAAAGAAGTGAGAATCCACAGAAGCAGGGATCACTTGGCAGTAGAGTTTCTTAAATTCTTCCACCCTATCACTGAAAGCAATGATATCCGTGGGGCACACAAAAGTAGTCAAGAGGGTAAAAGAAGAATACCACATATTTTCCTCTGTGGTCAGATAGGCCGATATCTTTGAACTGACAGTCTGGTATAACAGCTGTAGCTTTGAAGCTGGGGGCAGGGTGCCCAATTTTAGCATTTCCTGAAGACGTCTTGCTGTCACGGGCTCTGAGACACAAATACCACAAGAAGCAGGTCAGGAAGAATACTCAGGAAGCCAAGCTTGACTTTTTTAATACCTTAAATACAGTTTGTAATTTTGTAAAGTCCATCGAGTGGTGTGAAATTGTAACTAATGACACACTGCCCCTGATTTTAAGTCTCAGACAAGTAAACAGAGGCTACTATTCAAAACCTGAAGAACCTGAAGTTGTTGGGCAGAAACACATAAAACAGCGTTTATAAATTTTGCAGTTACCTTTGTTGGGCTATTAGGTGTTCTTGGATAATATGTTCTTTGTTGGGCTATTAGGTGTTCTATTCCCTTCTAGCAGAGGTTAGAACATTGTTCCAAATTCAAGGCCTAGGTCAGAAAATGCATGATTACTAAACATTGTGTAAATATGTGTGTGCAGCATTTCTGAGATTGGATCCGTGGGTCAATAAGAGGCTGCCTTTTTGTTTTTGTTTTGTGTTTTGTTTTTTTTTTTAAATTTAAACTTGATATGCTTTATGAGACTTGCAGCCAGGAAAGGAGAAAGGCACAGTGGGGGATTGTGAGGGTACATGGAAGACTTGCACAAGGACCACCAGTGTAGTGGGGGGAACAGGCAATTGGAGGTGGGAAATGGCTTGATCTTATAGTACTTAATGCATGGGGAAAAGGACAAATCACTCCCTAGGTAGGGGCCACTTATACAGGAAGTCAAAAGGTAAACCACAGAGTTTTTTCATAGCACAGCATGACTTCTACATTTTAAGCTAGCCTGTGGTCCTGCTTGGAAACCCTCTGAATCTAGAGCATCTTATGGTTTGTTTCCTTTGCTGCCCTTGGCTAAGAGGGAGATTCTTCAAGGTGGTTGAGATGCCCTAGGGTTTCAGGAAGTTGGAGAATGCCCAGAAAGTGAATGCAACCTGTTTTTGAGTGGTCACAACCTACCACCCTATGGTGCCCTTAGCAGAGGATGGGAACAGGGTGGGATTTAGGTCACGTGGCCGTTTGAATTCTTCAGACTGCTTAGACAAAGAAACCGTAATTTAAATGATGTCATTCTCAAATTTGATGGGTCTAAACCTAAATCTATGTGGTAGACAGCATTGAAAACACAAAGTTGTCAGGGAAGGAATCCATGGATTGGTTATTTTCTCTCTCTGTGCCTCAGATTTTTTGTCTGTAAAATGCAATAATTTCTAGCTGGTAGTCATTAATGAAGAATAAATGTTAACAATTATCATCATTACTTTCTTTAAATTAGGTAGGGATGGTACTTAAATATACAATGTATGGAATATCCATGCTCAGGTTTAGGTTATTACACACCTAGGGTGAGCATCTAATAGGTATGTATTTTCAAGTTTTTCACATGATTCTGAATGTATCTGGAAGTAAATAAAAAGGCTTCCTTGTACTCAAGAAGCTTGCAGGCTGGTGATGGAGATGTAAACATAGTCATAACAGTGTGGTAAGGGTTGTGCCAGGTGTCACATACAAAATGGTTGATAGCAGAGAGGAACAACTACCTGGGTGTAAATGAAGTGATTCTCAAAGGGAGTGATGTTTTTGCTGGATAGTGATTGGAGATGGTGGTGAGAGGAAAAGGTGTGGCCATGCCAGGTTTTAAAGAACTGGGTGTATTAGATGTTTAGAAATCTGGAATCTGAGAAGCTGAGAGAATTTGCAGCTGGAGTGTAGGGTGCATGGATTAGAGGGGAATTCAAGAGATGAGTTAAGGAAAGTGGGTCAGGGCCAGATTATAAAGGGTTTTATAATAGTGGCAGAAGTTTGGATTTATTTCTGTGTAAACAGGTTAAGTAATAGAAGCAGATTTATACCTACAAATGTAACTAAATGTTAAGTGGGAGTGGGGAGTGTGTGGATTGGGGGTGGTTGATGGGGCAGGAGTGAAAATTGGGACCTGGAAAAACCAGGAAGGCTGTCCTGAATGTGGTTCAGGCAAGAAGAGGGGACAAGGAATGGTGATGTAGGAATGGCATCTGGGAACACTGCTTTGGTAGGATGGATGAGGCTTGGTGAGCAGCTAGCTGCATATCGGACAATAGGGAAGCAACATTCAGTACTGGGAATTTTGTAGCTGCACTGGATATTGTGAAGCAGATATGTGACGTGTATTTACATTGATAGTGTTTCCTTGTCTCTTCCCCCTGTACACAGTTGTTGATAGCAGAGAAGAAAACCATTTCTTAATGTTGTAGTTTTTTAAAATTACTTTATTGTTGTTCAATTACACTTGTCTGCATTTTCTCCCCACCACTCCCCCCACCCCCCCCGCCCCAGCCAAACCCACCTCCCTCCCTTGCTTCTACCTTCCCCCTTGGTTTGTCCGTGTGTCCTTCCTAGTAGTTCATGAAAACCCTTCTCCCCACTGTCCCTCCCCCCCTCCCCTCTGGCTATTGTTAGATTGTTCTTAATTTCAATGTCTCTGGTTATATTTTGCTTGCTTTTTTTCTTTTGTTGATTATGTTCCAGTTAAAGGTGAGATCATAGTTTTAAAATTTGTTTTTGCTTGCAGGAATTGAGGAATGTTAGAAACAAAGTTCTTAATAATTATAAAAGTCTGAAGTTTTATTGATATTGCCACAAATCATTGAATTTGAAATGACATTAATTACATTGTCATAAATATATATATATTAGGTAACTGAAACTTAAAATAATTTTGTCTTCAAAAACATGTAACTTGAGATGGCAAGTAGCAAATGCTAATTTTACCAGATTCATATTAATTTTTAAAAACAGCCTATGGAAAAATTATTATACATCTTTGTTTGCAGGATTTTTACCTCCTATAACTCCACCAGAGAAGTTTTTTCTTTCCCAGCTAATGCTGGCACCCCCAAGGGAACTCTTTAAAAAGACACCTCGACAGATTGCCTTGATGGACATTGGAAACATGGGCCAATCTGTGGATATTAGCGGGCTTCAGCTAGCCTTGGCTGGTAAGGAGGAACTGGTGGTTTGGGTATCCTTATGTGGTAGTATTAAGCCTTTTTTTTCATAAGGAACTCTACTTAAAATGAAGGTTTATTGCTGTGCTAAAGGTTAGTATTTTCCATGAAAAACATAGCTTCAATATTAGATTCTTGCTAATATGACATAAGTTTATTTGAGTTTTCACTTGAATGGACTGCTTTTCCAATTTAAAAAGAATGCTGGATTTAGTCTGTTAAAAAATTTTTTTTTTTAATTTCCTCATTGGTTCTACACAGATTCAATGCAATTCCCATAAAAATCCCAATGGTATGTTTTGTAGAAATGGAAAAACTCATCATAAAATTCATATGGAATTTCAAGGGGTACTGAATAGCCAAAACAACGTTCTCTTGGCACCATTGTTGAAAATCATTTGACCATATATGGGAGTGTTTATTTCTGGCATCTCTGATTTGTATTGTAATTTATGCATCTGTCTTTATTGCAGTACCACATTTTTTATTATGGTAGCTTTGTAGTAAGTTTTGAGATTAGGAAGTGTAAGACCTCCACTTTGTTCTTCTGTTTCAAGATTGTTTTGGCACATTCTGTGTTATACATACAAGCAAATGAATGGGTGCTCTTGAAACAAAAGTGTGTTGTGGTAGAAAATAGGGGGACCTTCTTGAACTGGCTAGTCAAAGAGAGCCTCTATGATGAGAGAAGGAGAAGAGACACCTTTTGCTTGCCTGCTCTGAGCAAAAATACAGATGGTGGGGTCTTACCACATAAGAGTGATTCATTAGGGAAATTCCAGTATATAACTAGATTTGTGAACCCTTGACCTTGTTATTAAATAAGCTGCAGTATTAATTTTGACTGCCCCATCCTCAGACTAAACACACCTGTAATATTTGGCTGCTATATAAAAGGTGACATCTTTCAAGTAAACTGCTTTTTCCTTGCAGCATTCTGAATCTCTCGCTTTTTAACTACTGGGTATTAATATAACAATGGTTATTTTTTTTGAAAGCAAAGGGAATCTTTCTTTTAAGATTAAAGGTACACAGAAGTACTTATCAGCTACTGGTTCCAAATACAGTCTATTAACAGAAATAAAATGATTATTTCTATAAGCAAAGATAGTATGAACATAGGTCACAGAGGTGATTGATAATTTCAGTCACCTTAACTTTCAGAAGCAATATATATTTTGAGGGTTCTAGCTTTGTATTCCATTAAATGAGAACCAAATCTGACCCCTCAACATCTGATGGCGTGAGTCAGCTTGTGAGAAGGTTTTAAAGTATGTCAAGCTCAGAAAGGAATATATGACTAGAGTTGGTATTGAGAAACTTGGCAGAGTGGCTAAGTTTGCTGCTTGCTATACCCTACCCAAATTAAAGATATTGTAAGCCATTCACTTCACAAATACAAAAAAAAAAGCAAGTTAGCAAGTTACACTATCTTCTCTGGAGCTAGTTACATACATCATCTCTGCAGAGCCCTACAATTGAGATCTCACAGTGGGATCCATGCACCACAGGTGTGTATGGATAGATATACACACCACATTTTCTATCCATTCTTCCATTGGTGAACATTTGGGTTGTTTTCATATCTTGGCTGTTATAAATAATGCTGTAGTGAATATAGGGATGCATATATATTTTTAATTGCTGTTTTTGTTTTCTTGGGATAAATATCCAGAAGTGGAATTGCTGGATTACATGGCAGTTCTGTTTTTTAACTTTTTGAGGAAACTCCCAACTGTATATCATGGTAACTTTACCAATTTACAATCCCACCAACAGTGTGTGAGTGTTCCCTTTTCTGTACATCCTTGCCAGCATTATCATCTCGTTTTTTTGATGATGGCCATTCTGACTAGTCTGAGGTAACATTTCATAGGAATATTGATATGCATTTCTCTGCTGATTAGTGATGTGGAGCATCTATTCACGGCCATCTGTTTGTCTTCTTTGAAAAAATGTCTGTTCAGATCATCTGTCCATTTTTTAATTGGATTGGTTTTTGATACTGAGTTGTAAGTATATATTGCAAATAGTAGAATACCAGGTTCTTTATCTGCTCTACTGTTGATGGACATAACGTCGCTATGAAGATTTTTGTATATTCTGCTGGTGTGCATGTCAAAATTTCTTCTAGATGGAAAGGTAAGCAAGTGTAAGATTTTAATGGCAAAGTGGTTTCCAAAGTTGTTGTGCCACTTTTCATTCCCATTAGCAGTCTGCAAGTTACCTGACAACCTCCTCTGCACTTGATAATGCCAGGTTTGTTAATTTTTTCTAGTCTAGTGGGTGTGTAAGTGTCTTATGTTTTAACTGATTTTTCTCAGGTTTCTAATGGGATTGAACATTTTTTAAAGTATAGTTTTTGATTATGCTATTACAGTTATCCCATTTCACCCCCTTCATTCCCCTCCACCCTGCACATCCCCTCCCACCCACATTGCCCCTAACCACCCCCCTAGTTCATGTCCATGGGTCATATGTATAAGTTTTTTGTTTTCTGTATTTCCTGTACTATTCTTAACCTCCCTCTATTTTCTTCGTACCATTTATGCTACTTATTCCCTGTACCTTTTCCCCCATTCCCTCCTCTCCTATGCTGATAACCCTCCATGTGATCTCCATTTCTGTGATTCTGTTCCTTTTCTAGTTGTTTGCTTAGTTTGTTTTTGTTTTTTTTAAGATTCAGTTGTAGATAGTTGTGTTTGTTGTCATTTTACTGTTCATATTCTTGCTCTTCTTTTTCTAAGATAAATCCCTTTAACATTTCATATAATAAGGGCTTGGTGATGATGAAGTCCTTTAACTTGACCTTATCTGGGAAGCACTTTATCTGTCCTTCCACTCTAAATGATAGCTTTGCTGGATAGAGTAATCTTGGATGTAGGTCCTTGACTTTCATGACTTGGAATACTTCTTTCCAGCCCTTCTTGCCCGTAAGGTTTCTTTTGAGAAATGAACTGATAACCTTATGGAAATTCCTTTGTAGGTAACTGTCTCCTTTCCTCTTGCTGCCGTTAAGATTCTCTCCTTATCTTTAATATTGGGTAACTTAATTAGGATATGTCTTGGTGTGTTCCTCTTTCAGCCCACCTTCTTTGGGACTCTGTGAGCTTCCTGGGTTTCCTGGAAGTCTATTTTCTTTGCCAGACTGGGGAAGTTCTCCTTCATTATGTTTCCAAATAAGTTTTCCATTTCTTGCTCATCCTCTTGTTCTTCTGGCACCCCTATGATTTGGATGTTGGAATGTTTAAAGTTGTCCTGGAAGTTCCTAAGCCTTTCTTCATATTTTTGAATTCTTGTTTCTTCATTCTGTTCTGGTTGAATGTTTATTTCTTCCTTCTGGTCCAAATTGTTGATTTGAGTCCCGGTTTCTGCCTTTCACTGTTGGTTCCCTGTACCTTTTCCTTTGTTTCACTTTTCGTAGCCTTCACTTTTCCCTCTATTTTGTGACTATACTCAACCAATTCTATGAGTACCCTGATTACCAGTGTTTTGAACTCTGCATCTGATAGGTTGGCTATCTCTTCATTTAGTTGTATTTTTTCTGGAGCTTTGATCCATTCTTTCATTTGGGCCATATTTTTTTTGTCTTGGCTGGCCTCTTTATGTAGTAAAGGGCTGAACCTTAGGTGTTCGCCTGGGTGGGGCAACCCACATCACTTCCTTGTGGAGATGTAAGTGGGGGAGGGGTCTAAGAGGGAACAATGCCACTTGCTCAGCTCTCTGCCAGCTTCCAGTCCCTTCCCCTGCTACCCACAATTATACTGGGCCCTTCTGGTGTTGATTCCCTGGTGGGTGGTTTTGTGTACATTCTAGACCCTGTGAGTCTTTCTAATGAGCTCTCCTCTGAGGCTAGGAGTTTCTTCTGCCTCTTCAACCCCCACAGGGTTTTTTGGTCATAGGTTTTGAGGCTTTCTTTTCCCACACTGGAACCCTGGGTTGCCTGGTCTGTCATGCCCCCCAGTTGTTCCTCCCTGTTTATCCACACCAAATGCGGGACCGCCCTGGTCTTCCAGCCGCTGCCTTGCCCAGTCTGCCAGCCACCACCTAGCTGTGAATCCTCTCTGCCTGGCTGCCTGTCTCCGCCCCTCCTACAGGTCTGGATGAATGTTTCTTCTTTAACTCTTTGGTTGTCAGACCTCTATGCAGTTCAATTTTGTCAGTTCTGGTTGTTTTTTGTTTTTAAATTTGTTGTTGTCCTCCTTTTGGTTGTGCGAGGAGGCACAGTGTATCTACCTATGCCTCCATCTTGGCCGGAAGTCAGAGTGAACATTTTTGTCATATGTATTACCCAATTAGGCTTTTTAAAAAATATAAAATGCTTATTGAAGTGATTAGTTCATTTTCTCCTATTTATGAAAATTTATTTGTAGAAGTTTTGAAAAAATATATATATTCTGAATCTGGCCCTTTGCTTATGTGTTGCAGATAGCTTTCCCCAGTTAGTAGCTTGTCTTTTCACTCTCCCCGTGGTGCCCTGAATTTTAAAATGTCTCCTTTTTTAACCTTTTCAGAACGCCAATCTGAATTGCCAACCCAAAGTAAGGCTGGCTTCCCTAGTATTCTCAGTGACCCAGACCCAGATTCTTCTAATTCTGGATTTGACAGCTCAGTTGCCTCTCAGATCACGGAAGCATTAGTCAGTGGCCCAAAGCCACCTATTGAAAGTAGGTATATCTTTTATACTTTTGATTTTATCAGCATCCCTTGAGATGGTTTTCTGAAACGTTGTTTCCATTGCTGCCTAAACTAGAATTTAATGAGAAACTTCTTAGTATAGTGTCTGGAATATAGGGAGACGCTTTTGTCACATATCTGTCATCAGCATATCTGAAGATGTAAATTCTCTGATTTTACTGAAATGAGTCTATTTTTTAGCTCATTAGCTGTTTTAAACCTATTAATTTAATCACTATTCTTCACTGTAAAAGTTTACTGATCTTATAGCTCTTAATTTACATTAAACATCTATTGAACTTGAAATATTATAGCTGCATCTTTTGGTTTTATAAGCTTCTATGTCGTTTTAGTGATTGTCTTTCTGCTTAGGGTTAAGAACATGTTCTCCATATTACAGTATCAACATGAGTTTAAAACTCACTTTGTTTTTATGACATTTATAAGTAAATCTTTGGGATAAATGGGTTTACTGATGACGTCTCAGCTGGTCACAAGTGTACCTGAAAGTCCATAGCACATACCAGTTTTAATATTTGCTCAGGTGTAGTTTTGACTGGATGGGCCACCAGAAAGGTATGTAAAAAGCAAATCTATCAGACATTGAGTAAACAAATACCCAGCATCCTTACCTCATGGGAACTTGATTATATTGTATTGGCCAGAAAGTCCATTTAGTTTTAAGTAAAAATAAAAAACATTTTTCATTTTCACCAATAACTTTATTGAACAGTGTATTCACCATTTTGTTCCACTGCCTTCAGGCAACTTCATAATTCCATCTTCCCAAAACTTATCTGAGTAAAGAACTATTCAGGTGCCTTTTGCAGTCCTCCAGGGAATTGAAATTTTTTCATTAAGAGAATTTTGTAAAGACTGAAATAAATGGAAATCCAAAGGTGCAGTGTCTGGTGAATATGAGAAATAAATCAGAACTTCCCAGCCAAGCTGTGACAGTTTTTGCCTGGTCATCAGAGAAACATGTGGTCTTGTATTTTCCTGATGGAAAGTTATACTTTTTTTGTTGACTAAATTCTAGACGCTTTTCCTTGAATGCTGCTTTCAGTTGGTCTAACTGGGAGCAGTATTTGTTGGAATTAATCGTTTGGTTTTTCTGGAATGAGCTCATAATAGAGGACTTCCTTCTGATCCCACCATATACATGTTACCTTCTTTGGATGAAGACCAGCCTTTGGTGCGATTGGTGGTGGTTCATTTTGCTTACCCCATGATCTCTTTTGTTCCACGTTATTGTAAAGTGTCCACTTTTCATTGCCAGTCATAATTTGTTTTCAAAATGAAATGTTTTCACCCTGGCTGATGTGGCTCAATGGATTGTGTGCCCAGTTTGATTCCTGGTCAGGACACATGCTTGCGTTGCAGGCCAAGTCCCCAGTTGGGGGTGTGCAAGAGGCAGCTGATCAGTGTTTCTCTTTCTCCCTCGCGTCCCCTCTCTAAGAATAAATATTCTTATTCTTAGAAGAATAAATATTTAAAAACAGAACGTATTTGTTATGTTTAAGTAGAGAATCACTTACGTGGAACCCAAATATCAAAATGATTAACATAAACAAGCTGTTAATGAGTGATTTTCAAAGCCTGTTGGAGATTTTGGGTATGTCCACTAATGTTGATTGTTTTTAGTTAATGTCTTGATTTGATTGCTATCAACTTCAGCTGGTCCAACCCACTGTAGAACATCGTCAAGGGAGAATGCTCCAGCATGAAACTTCGAAAACCACTTTTGACACATTCGATCAGTCACAGCACCTTCATACACAGCACAAATCTTCTTTTTTTGCGTTTCAGTTGCATTTTTACCTTTCTTGAAACAATAAAGCACAATATGCTGAAAAGGTTGCATACTTTCTTCCATCTTCAATATTAAAATGGCTATACAAAATGTCACCAATTTTGGTAAGCTCTTTAGTTTTTTAATTTTTTTAAATTTATTTTTAGAGAGGGGAAGGGAGGGTAAATGAGAGGGAGTGGAACATCAATGTGTGGTTACCTCTTGTGCACCCCCTACTAGGAACCTGGCCTGCAACCCAGGCATATGTCCTGACTGGGAATCGAACCTGTGATCCTTCAGTCAAAGACCACTCAGTCCTCTGAGCCTCACCAGCCAGGACTTGATAAGTTTGTTTTTTTTAATGCACACTGAAATGACACCTTTGACAATATAACCCAGGAAAAATTGTTTCAAATGAAGTTAGACAACTAAGCATTGCTAGAGTCAACTTATGGGGAAAACTGAAGAAACTTTTTTGCCAACCCAATATAAGTAGGTGCTCACGAAAGAGATTCAGGTGCTAGTTCTGGTGATGTAAGAGAAGAGATAGTGTAGTTTAAGGTGTTAATTCTTAGCTAGACATTTTCAATAAAGTAGAGTATATCTCAAATTTGGCAGGAGCTAGCATCCATGATAGAAACAAGTCATCTTAGGCCTTATGTGGAAACAAGAGGTGTGAAACTTGTCTAGCAGCAGTCCAAGCCAGCATTTATTTGAGTGGGTTTCTAATTTAGTGATCAGTCTTGTTTATGAAATAGTTGAGGTGTTGAGTACTTTTATTTTCCTGTTGTACTTTCATAGTTTTATAAAAATGAATATGGTATTTATGAACTTATTGAAGTCCTCAGATTTATTTGAAAATGTCAAGTCTACCAATACTTTCTCCCCCCCTGACTTTTCATCCCCATGTAATTTCCCACTTCAAGGTTGTAAGAAGCAGAGGTAGAACTAATGCAAATCATAGTGGTCTCTGAATAAATTGGTGGTAATTAAGAATAAGATGAGTGAGATCAAATAGTATTTCATTTTTTCTCATGAAGAGACTTATACCAATATAGTAGGTTGTTACTTTTGCTGTTTAGTGGTAATCATGCTTGAATGGAAACCTGTCAGGTCATGGTAATATATTCCTCTCCTCTCCAAAAATACATACATTTGGTCTCTGGCATAATAATGTTCTATCAGTGTTTCATTTTCTTCTTTGTATTGTGAATAAAACCCTGACTTTCTGTATGCCTTGTGCTTCTGGTTTTGAAATCTGTTTTATCATGTCATCCTTATAAAAGGGTGCTAGTGTACTTCATTAAGTGAAATGTGTTAGATGTATATAGATGTGTATAGGTTAAGTTAGCTTGCTGACAGCAGCAGTCACATGTTACTGCTCCTCTCCTGTACAGGCCATTTTCGGCCAGAGTTTATTCGTCCACCACCTCCACTCCATGTTTGTGAGGATGAGCTGGCGTGGCTAAATCCAACAGAGCCTGACCATTCGATTCAGTGGGATAAGTCGATGTGTATTAAGAATAGCACGGGTGTAGAGATCAAGCGAATAATGGCCAAAGCCTTCAAAAGCCCCCTATCTTCTCCTCAGCAAACACAGGTAAACCTTTTCTTTAATCCATCAAGTCAGTTTTGTTTTTCATAACATCATAAATGACCAATAAAATGATACTGTTAACAGGAGCCAACAGTAGGCCATTATTTCGGATCCAGAGTTTTGGGATATCTGAAGTTCTCTTCTGACCTTCCCACTGTGGTGGGGCAAGAAGTCTGAGGACTAAACGTGTACCAATATTTGTTTGGGATCAGTTTGACTCTGGGAGGGATAGGATGGGTCTCTTTTTAGGCATTTTGCTCATGTTCTCTGTCAGCTAGACATATTATGTACGTTGTTATGTTGAAACTGGACAGTAACTCTTCTGAGGGTAAGTGGATTTATTAACATTTTGGAAGAGGAAAAAGGCTCAGGTAAGGTAAACTAGCCCTTGCTGCCTAATTAGTAGACTCCTCTTGGAAAAGACAAGGACACCATGTGGGTGGTTTCTGGTTGGTGAGTTTTATTCAGATTGCAAGCTTTCATATTAGAACTTGTCAGGAGATGCTGCCATCTCCAGTGCACTTTACCACCAAAAATGTTATTTTCAAAGCCAAGTAAATAGCTGTTTTTAGTTCACTTTACTTACTAGGTCATCCTGAAACATAGTCCACTGTGGTACATGTAAGTAGACAGGGGAAAGAACATAGAAAATTTTAAAGAAAAAGTAATTATTTGGTGGGAATAATTGTTTTTGAGGATATCTCACTGAATTACACAGTGTGAATGTGACTTGAACCATAAATCCTGCAAACAGATGGGTTGTAGTACAAATCTCCCTTTTCCCATCCTGCTTCCTTCTCAGGAATTTCTCTTCCCCACCTGGAGCTGAGCTCTGCTGTTGTTTCAGATGTTTCTCAGTTCTCTAGGATCTGTGCTTTTTGGGAAAACTAATTAGTAATTAAAGTTAATTTTGGTTATATCAAATGACAGAAAAAGAAAACTACAAAGTACTTAGGGACAATGTTGTTACAATCCATACAGTATTTTATTCAACTGGACAATACTGAGTCTAGTTTAATGCCCAGGAGGCATCACTGGCATATTTATAAACTGTCATAAGTGTTTATATTTTAATAAAAATATCAAGTAGTTATGAACATGGGTTTCAGGGAAGAAATTTATGAAGTTGGTTCAATACAGATAATTTGATAGCTCTTTGTGTAAATTACAAATTTTTATGCAGGAAACAGAATGTCTACTTTGACTAAAGAACCTCTTTCTCTTTTTAAAAATTTGATTGTATTAGCTCCTTGGTGAGTTGGAAAAAGACCCCAAACTTGTTTATCATATTGGCCTTACTCCAGCCAAACTTCCTGACCTAGTGGAAAATAACCCTCTAGTCGCCATAGAAATGTTGCTGAAGTTAATGCAATCAAGCCAAATCACCGAATATTTTTCAGTCCTGGTCAATATGGATATGTCTTTACATTCCATGGAAGTTGTAAATCGGTAAGTTCCTACACATAACCAAATGTGGGGGTATGTAGATCCTGATTATATGACTAGGAGAGAAAAACTACAATTTAATCTTGTTAGTTTGAGAAAAACCCATCAAATAAATTATGTAAGCCTTAGTGTTCACTACATGTGAATTTAGCATTCACAGGAAAGAACCCAGAAGGTAGGTAGGATTTCAAATATTTAGCACTAAGACATAATTATTGCTGAAATTTATTTTTCTATATAGTTGTATATTCTCTACCTCTGTACAAGTAGATGTTACATTATTTTTTGTTAGTGACTAACAGCTGTATCATGGGAAAGTATGGGTTTTAGCTGCTGCAAGAATTCTGGGAATGTCAGCCCAGAAGCCCTTGCTCTGTTTTCCCAGCCTGACTCTCCTTACTCTTGTCATTGACTGTCAGAATATAATACATTCCCTTTCTGATGTTCTCTGTAGCGTCTTCCCATTTTATACTATTTTCCTTAAAAATACATTTTAGGTAAATTGTGGATTGAATAGGCTTGGGGGGGGTTAGCTTGGCTGTTTATCTATAGGGTAGCTATACGTACAGGTTTGTCTGAGTAATCCCAAATTAGGCTTCTCTTGGCCTCCTTTCATGTGGTATCCTGTTTCAGTGCTGAATTATATGGTCTTTTTGTTGTGTGGAGAAATCCATTCTGAATGCTAAGCAACTGAGCTTCAATTAGAACAAACTTTTTGACACCTGTTTATTTTTTATAACCTACTTAAAATTGTACTATAAAATATATCCTTTGAAGTTAATCAACTGGTAAAAAATAGCCTAGCTAAGGACAGGTGATCCCAAATATGAAAGTGCATCCTTTTTGGAGTGGGAAAAGAAGCATGAGGTTTTCAACTTTATTTTTTGTCACTGTCAACTGGTTAGCTGCTTGTTTAAAACATGCTACTTCATTTCTGCCTTCTTGTTCAAGACTCTTCCCCTACTGTTAAGACTCACTCATCTTTTAGGGGCTGCATTCTGTCAAATCCTTTGGGTTGAGAGAGCTCTTGAGAGCTCACTTCTTCCACTTCACCATCTTCTTATAGGAGCAATTATCTACTAGACATTTGGCACTTAGTCCAAGAATAACTATGTCTTCCTATCAATAACTTCATCAAGGACAAGTTCTGCTCTTTTTGCCCCACCCCCCAAATCATGGAGCATCAGCTATAAGTGTAAAACAACTGTTACCACAGCAGCCTATGGCACATAGTGTTTCCTTGGAACACTAGTTAATCAGTGACTTACGGGATAAAGTTCTAGACTCCAAGTTTAGTTTCTTCTGAAAATTCATACTGTATAGTTAGCCTGGATACTTTTAAATGAACACATAATTCTCACTTCATCTTTTTTAGTTCTTAAAATATTCCATAGAATCCTTTGAAAAATACCAGCCTTCCCCTTTTGAGACTCTAAACTCATCTGCCAGCATGCCATGCCTTTTGTTCACTTCCAGCCAGGTCTTGCCCATCGTGTTCCTGAAGGTGTTGTGCTAATCCCCAATTCCAAGTTTTATTCACATCCTATACTTCTCTCCTGAGCTGTCAATTTAAATTCTTTGCCCTTTTAAGGTTTTTCCCAACTCTTTTTCATACACTGTTATTCTTTGCAAGTGCCTCATTTTAGCATTTATATACATATTATGCCAGTAAACGTATACCTCCTGACTATTATTAGTCAGTAAACGTATACCTCCTTCAGATGCACTGCTTTGTAGAGCACTTACATGTAGTCAGGGTTTAATAAATGAACAGCCATTGCCAAGGCTGTTAGAGCTTGGGAGATAACAACTCCCAATTATGATTCAAGAACACACAGGAACACTGTGCTCAAAGAATTGCATGGACAAAAAATGGAAGTGTTCTTTGTTAACAAATGGATGTGGTTCTTAGGCTTATTTGTGTAAGTATATTTAAAACTAGGTAATTGGTCATACGTCGGAAGTTTGCACTAAATGACCAAAGGAAACTTTGTATTTTATGGTTAACAATGTTTTTTAATGTTAGCAATTACAATGAACAGCCCTAATTTTCTAACTTTGTGAAACAGACTGACAACAGCTGTTGATCTACCTCCTGAATTTATTCACCTTTATATATCAAATTGCATCTCTACCTGTGAACAAATTAAGGATAAATATATGCAGGTAAGTAATAGAAATTTTAGTAAGTTTTATAAATATCTGCCAAGAAAATAGGCACACTAAAATTTTTCTCTTTTTCAGAATCGTTTGGTGCGTCTTGTGTGTGTCTTTCTCCAATCCTTGATCCGTAACAAAATTATTAATGTGCAGGACTTGTTTATAGAAGTGCAGGCATTCTGTATTGAATTCAGTAGGATACGAGAAGCTGCTGGTCTTTTCCGGTTGTTGAAGACATTGGACACTGGGGAAACACCTTCTGAGACCAAAATGTCAAAATAATATCCTATCAGAACCACCCCATTCATTGTTCAGCTGTACTGCAATTCATTTTTTAAAACTGTTATAACCCTAAGTGGACTGTTTGGTGTAATGCATATAAACAACACATGAACTACTTAAAACAGTTTTACTTCCCTTTAGAAGAATCTTTGGTTAAGAACTTGGAAAAATGTCTTTAGGTGTCTTAACACACAAGGAATGGTTATTCAAACAAAATTACTCTAAAAAAGTAGATGAACTCTTGAATACTAAAAAGGTGCCTGTTTTTATTTAAAACAAACTATAGGCTTCTGATTAAGTCAAGAATCCAGTTTTCCTAAGTCAAGAATCCAGTTTTCCTAAGGTTTCTAATGTCAAATGTATTTAGTGAAAGTAAACGAAGACATTCTTTAAGGATTTGTTGTAGTGTCCTTGAGGTGAAATCAGTTGAGTGTTCTTTAATCATGTAGCACACAGAAATTTGATCCTTGAACCTATTTACGCATGTAACTCTTAGCTTCTCATTAAGCAGAGTTTGAACCAAGAACATGTAACTTTATCCTTTCTTATCATGAGGACTTAATAGATCAGCTGGTATAGTTTACAGGGTTTTTTTCTCTTATGATATTCATTAGTTCTTCTGTTATTAGTCTAAGATAGTCATTTTTTGTTTTAAGGAGAGACAGTCAGTGCTTTGGGAAGTAATCCCATTACTGAGGAATTGTCATGTAAAACTGGTGACTGAGTAGGCTCTGCACTTTTCTGCCTGTGGTGAGGCAGGCATACTGTTTGAAAAGTAGGAGAGCAAAAGGGCATCGTGTGGAACTGTCGTCACTCATTTAACTTTGGACAACAGTGCCTTCTATTAAAGTTCCTTTTTTAAATAAATTCTGTATTATCTGAATATTTTATTCTTGAAGAAATTTGAAAAGCTCTTTATGTACTGAGATATTTTCAAGCACATACTTATAAGGAAGTAATCTGTTCAACAGGAATTACCTTCCAGTCTAATTGTCAGCAAAAGTTTAAGAAAACCAAGCCCAGTGGTAGGAAGTTTCAATCTTGTATATTGGCAAAAGAGAAGTAGTATTAGATTTATAACAAATTTTATTTTAGATAACCTTATAAAAGTAAGAGATTTATAAGTACATTTGCTTAAAGTAAGGACCCAAGCTGATGTAACAGAGGAGTACCATCAGACATCTGAAATGATGGCAACAAACCTGCTTTTCTCTCAATACCTTAAAGTGAGCATCACTATTTTTTGCATATTAGCATTGGGGGAAAAGGTTCATTATTCAAAAATACTTTTGGAATAGCAAAGTTTCAACCACTGTCACTGTTGGTAACAACCTACCTTAGGTTCCTGATTCTCTGATAACATTAAGCTCATGGCCAGTAGCACTGGAACTCTTGTGTGAACAAAGTTTAACATACATTTTTTCTGTGAGGCACATCACAACTTTGTGCTTGGAACAAGTAGACAGCACTTAAGCACTATACTTGGGCGCCATTTATAAATGTGAAACTATGGACAAAAAATACAAACTGGGGCAATAAATAGACCATGAAAAGGTTACATGTTGACAGTTTGAGAGCTGAAACAAGAATCTTCCTCAACTGGAGCATGTATGTCAGGCAACTAGAATTTTTACTGCTCTGTACATGTCCACAAACAACTGCAAAAGTATTACCCATACTGATTTTCAGGTTACAAATACATTTTAGGCAAATTCACAGACATGGACTCTGAATAGAGTGATGGCTGCTGATCATCTCAAGATCACAATATTGGTGTTTTTTTGAAAGAGGAAAGGCTTTCAAATTTATTTCAAATAGCTTACAAAGAACAGTAGTTATATTTATAGAACATAATATATAAACCTGATTTAAGATTTATATTTAGAACATCAGCAAAAGGTTCTTAATTAAACAGGTTTAAAAGCAGAGGAAAATTTACCTGAAATATAAGAAACTATAATGCTGGGATTCAGTAACCACAATTAACTTTCCATGGATTTTTACTTTTTTCCCCTTTTTTATGTAATCAACTTTTAAGTGTATTCAGATGAGTTCAATTTAACTTTTTGTCTTAAACACATCTTGAATTCTCCAGATTTTCTAGTTCCGGTTTTTTGCTTTAATATCTTCAAACCATCTGTTAAAAAAAAGACAAGAACACTAACAATGTAGAAGTTACTTCAAAAAGAATATTTGCGATCCTAAAATATAACTGTTTCAAACAGTTTTCTTTAACAGTTATTATTCACATAAACCATGTTAAGAAATGGTATCAAAAACGGTTATTACTTTGTATTCTTGAGTATATTTTCACATAATTTTAAGTAGCACACACCATCTTATTCTGTAATGATTCATTCACCTTTCCATGGAGAATGAGGGATTACATATACATACCTACATGGTGAGCAAAACCTACGTTTACAGTTCTATGTAGTTTCCATATGACAACTGTAAACCTACTTTTACCCCACCCAATATATTAAATAAAATTTTCAGTGATATCCGTCTAAGATCACATTTTAAGGGTATCTGGAAAACTAATGAATGGAAGACCTGTTTACACATTCATTAAAATTCTTACATCTTCTACCTAAAGACACTTTTTTTCTATCTCCTCTTTGCAGTCACTGCTGTTTTCAGGAAAAACTCCAAGCCACTTCCAAAATCACTGGGATAATCCTGGGATTCAATAATGTTGCAATCAGTGCAGAGAAGTTAATGGTGTTCCCAGATTTCTCATTAGCCCATAATACACAAACCTACAACTCACCAAAAAAGAATGGATTGACTTTTTAGTGTTATATTACTTTTAAATTAATGTAGTACTTTTCTCAATTTACAAGTTAATACTTTGTCCATTTCCAATGGTATGACTATGACACTAAAAATGTCACTTTTAAACTAATACATGTATCAGTGTTTTTGAAAGTGAACTGCTTAAGTATTTTAAAACCTCAAAAACTAGGAAAGGTGTAGGTGGCTTTTCTCAGAGAAGCATAACATATTTTATGCCACAAGACTCACTTTGGTTCAGACCAACATCTTATGCTTTGTAAATCCGAAAATAGGGTTTACATCAAGCCTAAAAAACTCTTTTTTAACTAATATATACAATCCCCTCATGTTCAAGGTAGTAATAATTAAATCAGTAATGATTTAATCTCACCGTTCACTGAACAAATAAATATGAGTGTGCTCAAAAGAAGAAACTCGCCAAATTAAGCTATCTTAACTGGGTCCTTCATCCAGATGGGGATACACTGGTTCTTGAAGGTTTATTATCCTTACGATTCCAGCTGTCTTTGAGTCAGTTAGTACATCACAAAGTACACAGAGAGGCCTTTGTTATTAATTTAAGGCCTAGTGTTGTCCAAGATGCACTAATTATTTTTCGTTCAAAATACCTGAGCTATTTGGAGCCTAGGTTGCCCAAGGCATGAAGCTTCCACCTTGTTACTGAGGTCAGACCAATGGTTCGCTTCAGGAGATTTTGTCATGGTGCTCCCACAGAGAGAGCAAACTGCTGATGGAAGCACTGCAATTCGGCCTTTTGTTGTCATCATTCCTCAGTAACTACAGGGAGCAAGCCTTCTGGAAAGGCTTTGTATAGTCAAGATCCCTAAAAAGACAGCATGCAGGGAATTACCTGACCTGGTCCTGTTTCCACGCCTCTCCAGCCTTTCCTGGTTTCTGAAGGGGCACCCCAAAGCAGCACATGGGCAGGCAGGGGACCACGTTGGATGCTTCACATTCATGGACACTGCCTTTTTCACAGGCTGCCTGCCAACTTTCAAAGTTAAAACTCTCTACATTATTTGTGAATGAACAGCTTTTATGACAATTATTAGAAGGAAAATGATTATACTACCATAAATAATAACAATCTGATTTAGTATACTCTTTTCACTTACATTCTCCATATTCCCGGCAATTTTTCAACTTTTATGTTTTCAGCTCCAATTCTAGTAGTATTTGACTCTTCCTATTTATTTCCATCTTATAAAATACCTACCCCAAAGGAAACTTTTTCCTTTTGAATGAAGTTTATCTTCTATTTTTTTCTGCTGTTAAGGATCTGTGTTTCTAGAGATGAAACCTCAGTTCTTATCTCTTCTGTTCATAATTTAGTGTTCAAACTTTTGAATTAAGGAAAGCTATTATCTGATGGTCCCTGATTATGAACTTACACTATCCTTTTAGAAGTCAGCTTCATTGGCTACTGGAAAAAACTGTTAGGGTTATTTCTCCCTAGTATGTTTCTTTAAGTACAAATGGTTTACTTGGTATAAAACCAAGGACACATTTTTCCTATTCACAATGAACCAGACAAGGCAGATTTAAAATGATGACTATTATGAAAACATACTTTGAGGCTGTTTAAATGAGAGTTTGAAGTACAACTCATTTTCTATTTTAATAGCTCTTCAAACTGAAATCTGGCCAGAGTTTACTTCAGTAAAAAACTTCACTCATTAAATATTTCAATTCACTATGAATAGCTGCAATCAAAGTATGATAGATAGTGTGAAAAAAATTGAATATCTAAAACTTTATATCTTAGATACAGCTCTAAGAATACATTCTTTAAATTTTGTAAAACATATTTTCTCACTAAACATTTTTACCCCCACACAAAAAAAGATACACATAAGTAACTAGATTAGAAACAAAACAACAAATGACTACAATTTCAAGTTCTAAAAAAAAAAAATAACTTGGCCATGGAGGAGTAGCTCATTTGTTTAGATTGTCATCCCAATATGTCAAGGTTGCAGGTTAGATCCCTGGTCAGGACACATACAAGAATGAATGGATGAATGCATAAAAAAGTGAAACAACAAATCTTTCCCTAAAATATCAATAAAAAAATAAAAAGTAATTTTCTCTCATCCTCCTCAACTTCCAGCTCTAACAAAGTGACAGAAAAGCAGGGTGTGTGTCTTTATCACTTTGGATAACAATCTCCGAATGCTTTATATTTGCGTACTCCTTTCACTTACAAGAATACACAAAATTTTTTAAAAAGATGATTAAACAAGGTGATGGCCACTAAGTCTGCTTTAAAATTAATAAAACTGGTTACTTGTTTATTACAATAACCAAAAAGTCCCCATCCTTCACCCTTTTAACTGTAAATATTAAATTGTAATTGGAACCAATCTATTACACTCATCATTTACAAAGAAAATCAGTCTCTCTACTTGATTTCCTAACAAGGCAATGAAGAACTTAATGCTCATGTGAAATACAGGTTCTTAGTAATTTTATTTGTTGAAAAAAATGAACAAACTTCCCACCAAAGTGTCACATTAGGTAATGCAACAATGGAAACGTGTTCTCAGGTTTTGAAATCCATATATAATATCAACGTGCCAGAAAGCTGTTGATTTCATTTTAGTTACAAGTTTAATGTTCTTAAAAATGTCTTACCTCTAGGGAAAAATCAATGTGATCAATTTACAGAATTACACAGTTCTGTTTCAACTAGTCTAAATTCAGTGTGCTTAGTACGAAACCACCCTTGAGAGACAGGATTAACCTTTTTTATATAGTACCATAGTAACTAGTCTAGTATTTAGAAACACTGCCCATCCTGACATTAGCATGCCTTCCCTAGTGGTCTCTTCTGTAAATAGTCTGGAATAACCTTATTTACTGTAAATGATACACTTTGGTAGGTAAATATGACACTAATCAAAAAGTCTCTAAGATTAAATATCTTAAGACCTTTGTATAACAAATCAGGACATGAAAGGTAAAAGAATGTACATTATTTTCAAATATACAAACTATGTGCTAAATAAAAAAAAATGTCCTTTAACTCAAAGTTCTGTCCATGCTGCTATCAGTGGCTAATGTGCTAGGAGATGGGTCCTCCATGCTGAAGGTTGTTCCCGCCCATTTCTACAACAAAGTGACAAAAGCCATTAGTCAGTTGGCATATTCTGAACTTCAATTAAATGAACACTATTACTCAGAAATTATAATTCAAGCAACAAATTACAAAAAATTTTAAATAAAACTTATGTAAAAATGGCAACCCATTCCAGACAGTCAAGTCATATGTAGTATGAGATGCTTTCCAGGATTAGCCTAATCAACATATAAATATGATGCCATCTTAATTGGTGTTAGAGTATGTTTCCAAAGTAAAACAAGTAGCTTTGGTGGTGGTGGTGATAAGGTCACTGCCCATGAAACCAATAGCTACCATGTATCAGGCAATATGTACTGACCCAAGGTGGACACTATATATTATCCCCGTTTTATAGAAGAGGAAACGGAGGCACAGAGAGGTGAAAGTATCTTGGAAGAAAATCTCGTATTCAAATCCTGTAAGTCTAATTACTAAGCAAAGTAGTACAAAATAATTTCAGCACAAAAGGTTTTTAAAAATAGAATACTTCCTTAAATGAAGAACCAACTACTTGAACCCACCTACATTAGAGCTAAGTGCAAGGTAAACTGGACAATGGAAGGAAAACTACCAGAGAAACACATTATCTGGTGACTGTGATCTGCCACTGTTATTTTGTAACCTAGTTTCTTTTTACACAATTTAATTTTTAGTGTTTGAAACAATTGTTTATTTCAATAGTTTGAAATTATATTATTTTAGGTTAGGAGGGCATTTGAGGAAGGACCCTGACAAACTAATGCACTACAGGCAACAAGAATGAAGAAAAACCTGGACACCACTTTGTTTTTTTCAAAGATTTTATTTATTTTTAGAGAGAGAGGAAGGGAGAGAGAGAAACATCAATGTGTGACTGCCTCTTGTGTGCCCTCTATTGGGGATGTGGCCTGGAACCCAGGCATGTGTCCTGACTGGGAATTGAACCTGTGACCCTTTGGTTTGCAATCCACTGAGCTACACCAGCCAGGGCAGGAGACCACTTTTGAAGGATGTTTAGTCAGGATACAAGTTTTATCTGTCTACATATCTCAAGGGTGGCCAAGTACTAGAGAGGCAAATTTCCTTTCCTTTCTGGAGACTTCTAGCAATGGCATAAATTACATTGGTATGCACTTTGGCTCAACACAATGGAATTCCTAAAAATAAGAGTTGTGTATAAACAAAGGCATTGCCTTGTAAGGTGGTTTACTCCAAGCAGGAGGCTAGAGAGCTAGTTAGAAGAATGCCTGTAAGAGACTGACCTCCCAACTTTGTAATTCTCTGAAATACAGAGCCTTCCTTTCCTTCCACAGCGCAGTCTTTCTTCCTCAGGTGCCCATTTAAAACTTAAGTTCTAATATTTCAATCTTTTCCTCACAGATCTTAAGCATGTAAAAAAAATGAGAAACTGGTTCAGTTTAAATATTACAAATTTGGAAAAAACATACTTCCTCTTCCAGGATGGCTAATTTTAAAATCAGAAGCATCAATAATTTATAAAATAATTCAACTACAATAAAAATTCTGATGGGACTTTCTTTTACTTGGCAAAATGATTTTAAGATTAATCTTAAAAAATGTAGAGCAGGCCAGGTTTTTTTTCATTGCAGCACAATTCTGAAGACTCACATGTTTGTCCATTTCATGATGGGTGCTTTACAAGCACACCTTTCTACACCATGCTGAATGTTCAGCAGTTTTTGACCAAAAATAGATGACCTCTGTGCATCATCATCCTTATTCACCCAATGTCACCCAATGAAAAAAGTCCTCAAAGGGAAATGTTTTGCCGGGGTGGAAGAGGTGAAATAAAAAATGGTAGAAGTAATTTTTAGCACCAAAATCAATGAGTTCAAAAACTATTTTGAGCAGTGGAAAAAATATCTTGACAGATGTATTACATTAAATGGAGAGTGCTTTGAAGGTGACTGAAATTTAAACATGTAAGAATACATATACAATTTTTTATCAATAAACTCATTTTGGGGGATCTCCCCTCATTGTTGTAAATTTTATATACTGTAAAGTATATGTTTACCATTTAAGTATTTATTACAAAAGTGGTTTTCCAAATAAATTGCAGTAGTATAAAAAGTTACTTTATTTTAAATAAAATAATGAACGTACTATTTACTTAAATGTTCCAATGAAATACTTTTGCAATGCAATTTTTTTAAAAAGTCCAATTTTCTTCTTGGTGTTTATTAGAAAATAAACCCAAGCCACAGAATGAAATGTAAATAATAAAACTTCATTAATTGGAACCAAGGGAAGGACACATGAATGGTAGAATGTTTAGTGAGAAAGGCAATTTTGCTAACTTCCCTAGTCTTGTAACTTTTTTTAGCCTATCAAAATATTAAGAAGCAGTGTTTGGCACATAATCATATAAATGTTCCTACATTCATTCAAAGTATAAAGATGTTCATGTCTACTGCAGTTACACTGTAAGTAAGCAAACAACCCTTTTAAAGGGCAAGGCTTTCCTCTCTGAAGTAGTTTCCCTAAAATTTTTTAAACTTCCATTAAATTTTTGTTTTTACATGCTATAAAGCAGTAAAGTCCTAATTAATTCAGTTTTACTGCCTCTGGGAATTCACATTTTAGACATTGCTTTGACAACATCAAAATAATAAGAATTCAATACAAGGCCCTGGCTGGTGTAGCTCAGTGGATTGAGTGCGGGCCTGTAAACCACACGATTGCGGTTCGATTCCCAGTCAGGGCACATGTCTGGGTTGCAGGCCGGTTCCCTGCAGGCCAGTTCCCAACAGGGGACGCACAAAAGGCAACCATACATTAATGTGTCTCTCCTTCCCTTCCCCTCTAAAGAAATAAATAAAATCTTAAAAAAAAAAAAAGAATTCAATACAAAAATCTTCCCCCCAAGAGGTAAGACTCTGTTTTCTGAGATTAGGTTAACCAGTTATGCTAATTTTCCAATACTTAAAACTTACATGTTTTTACCTCTTTTATATGCTCATGGGATACAAAATAATTTAATTTTATCCAAACAAAAATAGGAAATAAGAAATCAAAAGAAACCACATGGCATTATGAAATTAAGTTATTCCATGATTATGTGCCTTAGAATTATACCCTCCAACAGTATATACTATGAAAAGTTGACTTTCCTAGATAAAAATAGCATGATTTCTAAGCTATAGTGAAAACTGTTATCTTAAAATCAGCCCTGGCTGTAGCCCTGGCTGGTGTAGCTCAGTGGATTGAGAGAGAGCCTGCGAACCAGACAATCGCGGTTCAATTCCCAGTCAGGGCACATGCCTGGGTTGCAGGCCGGTTCCCTGCAGGCCAGTTCCCAGCAGGGGACCCACGAAAGGCAACCATACATTGATGTTTCTCTCCTTCCCCCCTTCCCCTCTAAAGATCAATCAATCAATCAATCAATCAGCCCTGGCTGTTGTGGCTCAGCAAATTGAGAGCTGACTGGTGAACCAAAGAGTCACCAGTTTGATTCCTACTCAGGGCACATGCCTGGGTTGCGGGCCAGGTCCCCAGTAGGGGGTGTGTTAGAGGCCACCACACACTGATGTTTCTCTCCCTGTTTTTCTCTCTCTCTTACCCTCTGTCTAAAAATAAATAAATAATATCTTTAAAAAAAGGAAGAAATCAGAGGCTTTAAAAATCTCAATGCCCTAGGGACTTCCGCCAAGATGGAGGCATAGGTGGATATCCGTGCCTTCTCACACAACCAAGTTTAGAGACAACTAAATATTAGCAACAGAAAACACAGCCAGAACACAGAAAATTGAACTTTTCAGAAGTCTGATAACAACAAATTCTTCAGTCTGACCGCTCAACCAGCAGCTGGTGGAGCGGGGTTGCACAGGAAAACTCGGTCAGACGGACTCAGGCGTGCAGAATCCAGGCGCAGGGTTGGACCTAGTGAGCGACTGACCAAGCAAGCAACCGCGGGGAAACAGTGAGGGAGCAGGGCTGCCGGTTGACTGTGGTCGCGCATTTGTGTGCAGGTGGACAGGCGAGGGAGTGGGCGATTGGACCGGAACCCAGCGGGTCCCCACAGCAAGCGGCAAGTGGCAGGGAGGGCGCCGCCATTTCCCTGCTCTGACCCCACCTCCACATACAGCATCATAACCCAGCAACTCTGAGTGGCCTGGCCCTGGTGAACCACCTAAGGCTCTGCTCCTACCCAGCGGTGCAAAACAGCAGAGGGTGCGCCATTTCCCCGCTCTGACCATGCCCCCACATACAGCATCACAACCCAGCAACCTGGGAGTCCAAAGCTCCCTTCCTTACACTTAAAGGGCGTGAACAGACCAAAAATGGCTCAAGAAGATCTCAAAGCCTCAGAGCCTATAAATATAAGTGATGAAGAAATAGCAAAACTCTCAGACGCACAGTTTAAAACACTGGTCATCAGGATCCTCACAGAACTGGTTGATTATAGCAACAAATTAGACAAATATATGAAGGCGAAACTAATTGAAATGAATGGAATTGCACAGGAAACCAATAGCAATGAAAAGGAAACTGGGACTCAAATCAATGGAGTGGACCAGAAGAAAGCAAATAATGGCCAAACAGAAAAGAGTGAAGAAGCAAGAATTCAAAGAAATTAGGAGAGTCTTAGGAACCTCCAGGATATCTTTAAACGTTCCAACATCCGAATTATAGGGGTACCAGAAGGGGGAAAGGCACAGCCACCAGTGGAAAACTTATTTGAACAAATAATAAAGGAGAATTTCCCCAATCTGGCAAAGGAAATAGACTTCCAGGAAATCCAGGAAGCTCAGAGAGTACCAAAGAAGTTGGGCCCAAGAAGGAACACACCAAGGCACATCATCATTACATTAGCCAAAATTAAAATGAAGGAGAGAATCCTAGAAGCAGCAAGAGCTAAGGGGACAGTCATCTACAAAGGAGTGCCCATCAGACTGTCAGCGGATTTCTCAAAAGAGACCTTACAGGCAAGAAGGGGCTGGAGAGAGGTATTCCAAGTCATGAAATCCAAAGACCTACAACCAAGATTGCTCTATCCAGCAAAGCTTTCATTTAGAATGGAAGGACAGATAAAGTGCTTCTCAGATAAGATCAAATTCAAGGAGTTCGTCATCACCAAGCCCTTATTATATGAAATGTTAAAGGGACTTATCAAAGAAAAAGAAGTTAAAGAAACATGAACAGTGAAAGGACAACAAACTCACAGTTATTAAGAACCACACCTAAAACAAAAGCAAACTAAAAGGACAGCTAGATCAGGAGTGGAAACATAGAAATGAAGATCTCAAGGAGGGTTAGCAACAGGGGAGTGGGAGGAGGAGAAGGGGGGAGAAGGTACAGAAAATAAGTAGCATAGACAGTAGATAGAAAATAGATGGGGGGGCAAGAATAGCATGGGAAATATAGAATCTAAAGAACTTGAGACACATGGTCATAAACTAAAGGGGGGGTAATGGTGGGGATGGGGGTAGGGTAGAGGGGAATGAAGGGGGGAATAGAACAACTGTAACAGCATAATCAATAAAAAAATTTTAAAAAAAATCTCAATGCCCTTCTGTAAATGCTACCTAACTTTTGTAAAGTTAAATATACTCAAACCAGTGGCATTATATGAAGGTCATCAATGCAAAAGAAATCAGCAGAGCCCTGACTAGTGTAGCTCAGTGGATTGAGCACGGGCCTGCGAACCACACGATCACAGTTCGATTCCCAGTCAGAGCACATGCCTGGGTTGCAGGCCGGTTCCCTGCAGGCCAGTTCCCAGCAGGGGACACACAAAAGGCAACCATACATTGATGTTTCTCTCCCTCTCTCCTTCCCCCCTTCCCCTCTAAAGATAAATAAATAAAATCTTTAAAAAAAAAAAGAAATCAGCAGAAACTATGACTATGTTCTATGACTTCAGAAAACTATACTAGTTACTGTAATGTTCTAGCAGCACTTAAATAATATAGTGTATGCCTGGGCTAAAAGGACAATGATGTGAGAAATACATATGTTTATTAAGTAGACAAACAAATGAAACACCATATTAAATTTCACATTATCTTGAGGACTGCAGGAAACATTATTTTTTAATTGAAAATATGCTTTAAACAAATGAAAAACTGACCATGCGAATAACCCCATATTGCCTGTATGGGAAGTTCAAAGAGAGATACAAGAGAGTATTTTAGCTAGATTTGGAAAGAAAAAAGTTTACTCCTTTTTTGCCTCCAAATCTGGGTAAATAAATCAGATATCCCCAAAGTAACGAAGATTCATTTTCAAATAACTGCTTACAAGTCTTAGTTAAACAGTAATTGTTAATAGTGATTTTAGTGAATTCCTTATATTTACATTTTATGTACATATTTAAACTTAGAAGGTAAAAAAATATATAATAATAAAAATAAGAAAAAGAAATACAGTAACTTAGGTCCAATTCAGGAAACAAATACACAAAAGGAACATTAAATTTAGGCAGGTAGTATAACCTCAATGACATTACTGCCAGGGCTTACTTACTGTCCTGCTGCGATCAGGGCCACCATATGAAGGAAACAATTACCACAGTCAAAATTAATCTTAAAAAATGCAGAACAGGCCAGAAATTTTTTAAAAAGAATAAAGATGCAGGAATTTGTGTTGTCTTGCAAATCTCAAAACATATTATTTATAAATAATTGTTATTCACTAAATAATATTAGAATAATTGGTTAAACATGGGGAAAAACAGATTAGCTCAATCTCCCTTTAAACTATGTGGATTAAATATTTAAATGTAAAATGCAAAATCACAAATATTAGATAAAAATCTAAAATTTATATCTAAGCAAAACAGGTCAGAAAGTCAAAGGATACAGAAATTGGGGTGGTGGTGATGATATATAATACATATGATAAAGATCAAAGTGCTCTTGGCATCAATATGAAAAATCAGTTTCTCTACAGAAAAATAAGCCAAGAATGAAACAATTTATAAAAGAAAAAAATGACCAACAAATATGAAAGAAGGTAATCTCAGTAATAATTTAAAAATTCGATTTACTCTATTTTACCTATGAGAATGACAGAAAACAAGCAAGTAGTAAATATGTAATGAAAGTTTAACTGACAAAAGGTCATCAATAGGGCATGGTTTGAAGAACTGACTATAGTAAACCCAAAATATAACACTATGCAGATATACAAAATTTATGTTATCTAGAGCCTTAGATAGATAGTTCAGTTGGTTACAGCGTCATCCTGATCTGTCAAGGTTGTGGGTTCAATTTCTGGTCAGGGCACATACCAATAATAAATAAGTGGAACAACAAATTGATGTTTCTCTTCAAAGTCAATAAATTAAAAAAAATGTACCTATTGATAAAGAGCTTCATACACTAAGAAAAATAAAACATGTTACCTAATAACACATTCTCCCCATCCTTAAACACCAAAAATTTCTAAAAGATATTTATTGAAATGGTATTTCCTTTATGTTTTTCTTCATTTTCTTTCAATGATTAATGTCAGTTTGTTTTAGAATTTGCAACTTCTTACCTAGTAAGGCTGTGTTTTCATCTGCATCTTCTTTAAAATGTACATTCATCCTGTGGCATGGATTCATTAGTGGAGGGTGATGAATCACTCCTATCATTTCTGTCACCATCTTGTACAGTAATAATCAAATTTGCAGCCAAAACACTTCCAGGGGCTGATTCTGGAGTGGGCATCTCCTGGACATCTTCAAGCTCTCCCTTGAGAGTTAGTACAAAATAATGTCTTTTCTAATGAACACAATCAAAGCATATCAACTTTTGTTCATAATTCATAGAAAATGTTTACTTATCCACAAAATATGGCAAAAAGTACATTGATGTCTTCTTCATTTAGCATCATCAGACAATGAGTTACTTCTCAATAAGCAACTATCCAGGACCTAAACATTTTTATTCTAAAAACCATTTTCCCCTAATATAAGCAATGCCACTGTTTAAACTAAACTATTTGTTGACAGAAAGTGAAGTGTTGTTACAAACTGCTGCCTTTCTGAACTGATGGTGGAAATCAGCTTGGTTGTCTGCTGCAGATCACTTCTGGCCTTGGCCATGAGTTGTAATCACTGCCTGGAATGGTTCTACTGTTTTACGGTGAGGCGACAGGGTTTCAGAAATAAAGGTTTCTGAACAACACAGGGCTTCAGATTGGATTTTCATTCACTTAAAAATATTAGCTGTCAATTTGCCTCAAAATTCCCCCCTCTTCTATCTGCTGCTTTAAAGAAGAAAATAATAAAAGTAAGGGCTGAGACTCCAGGATGAGACTACATTTGAGACTACATTAGAAGTCCCAAAATTTGGGGGCTATCCAGAAACTTTGTTTGATTAATGCCAGAATCAAAGCTGTGTTGTGATTAAATGAAACTGCTGATGGCCTATGAAATGAGGGGTGACTGTGGGTTTACAGTGAGCCTTGCCCAATACTGTCACCTTTGCTTCCAGTGAACACACTACACTGTTGTTTCTCCTTCTCTTCCTCTGGGCTCTCAGGGCCAAGGGCATGCTGGCCTGCTGCTTCCACTGAAGCTCCACCTGTGTACTAGAACACCCCACATCTCCTGAGTACTGTGTACAGCCTTCTCATCAATAATGAACACTCAGATCTCCTGACATACCACACACCAAATTTTGTTGAGTTGGCATCATGTCCAAATTTGCTCAGCCCACCCTAATGGTATTTTCCAGATATTTCTCTAAATACCTGCCAAACTTAACTATCTGTCAGCCTCAAACCCCACTGTTCACACCCTGGCAGACTACTCATCTCTCAGAGAAATCCTTCAACATCCAGCTCGGATGCCCCTCTAAAAAACAGCTCCCTGTCCCTCCCCACACACATTTGGCACAGAAAACCCTCTTTCCTCCACACTTCTACAGCCTCTTTTGCCATGCTGTGTTTGGGACAAAAATGGCTGTCCGGGCCTACCAGCCTAGAGTGGCAACTAGTTATATTACTACATGGAAGTGTATCATAACTACCTATAGAATCCAACAGAGGAGGGGCAAATGGATTTAAAGAGAGTGGCACATTTGTGAAAAGATTAAAAAAAATTAAAGACAAGTTAATTACTGAGTTTGCTCTAAAGTTACTACAGGTCTCTGTTCTTTAACAAGATATTAAGCTTTCTGAGGATACATCTTCTAGCTTTCAACATTCTCAGGAAACAACCCAACCTTATTAGGGGGCTTCTTATGTAAAATGAAGAATCTTGATTTTCAATATATAAATTACATTTCCAAAAATAAAACTCATGAGTATTAAACTCTTAATACTAATTGTCAGTGAAATTCCTTTTATACAGTTTTAGAAATATCAAGCAGGTTTAAAATTTACTGACTCATGAAGTAAGTTACTTTAAATAAGCTTCAGAGTATATCTAGGGAAGGGAAAAGGAAGAAGGAAAAATTTGCCAAGAAAACACCTGTCAAGCTCCCTAGATTCTACTGTGTAAAATCTGTCTCAGAAAAGCTCATCATCTTGCCTGGAGCAGAGAGGGGATGAGCCTAGTTCACGAAGAAAGCATATTATAGCATCTTACACAGAGTCATCATTATGAAAAACTATGGAATTCTACAGAAAAGACAAATTTTCTAGATATCAAAGCAAATGAGATTTAAATAAGACAGTTCTTCAATGCTGACCCTTCCCCCTTTCTTTGTACCTATGATGAGGGCATTCCAGAACTCACACTTGAAAAATATAATTCATAGGAAGTTATATTGGGTTAAGATAGTGGTCTCTCAACTCTTGCAGATACGCTAAGCTAGAAAGTAAGAGAACTCTTTAAGTAGACCTGCAGCCTTAAGCATTATGGCTTTAAGAAGCATAAAATGATTATTAAAAAAAAAAACCAACTATGTAGTCCTAACTACAATAAACACTAGAAGAAACTAAAAATATGCTTAGCAAGAAGAAAAATATATTTTATGTTTGCATTACTTCTTTCAAAGATCTTTATTCCAAAACTATTTACTATTTAATCAGTATTTTGAGATACTAATTTAATTATATAAAAACTCTAAAAATGATAAAAATAGAACAATCTAGAAAAAAATCTGTTTTCTTCTCTGTTTCCCCTTTAGGGTAGGACAGTAGTTAAGAGCTTGGATCCTGGAAATAAGCAAACAAACTTGTTTCTAAGTAACAAAATAGAGATAGTGCAGTACTTACCTCATACGGGGCTGTGAGGGGCAAATGTAATAATGTGTATGGCATTTGGCACATGGCTTGGCTGCTACTATATGCTTTCTCACTTTGCCCTAGTGTCTGCTTTCTGAGGAAGGTTCTATGAGAATATAAGTATCAAACTAATGGAGCAAAATTCAAAGCAGGACACATTTCCCCAATAGTATTTGACTCTAAACCCAGGAATCAAGAGAACTGGTGTCAGGAAACACTGGCTTTGACTTCTTCATATGCCAGATGTGCACCTTGAGCCAGAAAACATCTGGGGCTCTTTCCATTTCAAACATTTCATAATTTTTGTTTATACAAGATTGACCAACACATATGCATTCTGCAATGTAATATACTGAAATATAGTGCTCTAAGTAATCACAAACTTTCTAAGAAAACATCAAGCATATTAGTATATAATCACAAATTTAGTTCATTTTTTTTGAAATGTCTTATTTCAAATTTAATGAAGAAGAAAATTTCTTCAGAGAACCAGAAGGATGTTAGAAGGAGTATTTAGTCTATCCCTCTTGCCTCTGGTCAGTGATGACATCACATCCTTCAGGAAGAACCAGGGCAAAGATTGAATATAGACAAAAATGTTAAGAAATCAAATATCCCAGGGCTTTGATGACATCAAGTTTACACATGGGACACGTGTGGTGATCCAAAAGCCATGGATCAATGCACATTCTATGAAAAGTATGCCTACAAAATTAAGTGAAATCAATGTTTGTATCTTATAAAGGAAAAAACGCATTCTACCACCTTATCTTCTCATTACAAGTTAAATAATGTCCAATCAACATTCACTTACCCTACACTCTTACCATCCTATTTTCCATGTTAAACAGAATCTTACAAGAAAATTTCCCCTTCATTCCACAAAAAAATAGCATGGTTTATTTTCAACTTATGCTAGATTATGTTTTTATGTGTTTTTGAAAGCCTTTTCGGAACTAATGTAGAATAAGCAAGCCAACGGTAAACTAATAAACAGTAATAAACTAATACTAAACTGATAGCATCTTATATAAGTCTATAAAATGACTCAAATGGAAATAGGCCAAAATATTAAGAAATCATCTTTGGGTTGCAGACTTTATTCTAGCATATTTCCTGTTATGTGTTTTTGTGCATGCTACATATTTCTGTAACAGTCACCTACTACCTTCAGATAAAAAAAAATCATGTACATGTTTTTTTCTTTTACTGACTTGTCTTTGTTGGCTCATATGGGATGAAGATAAGGAGTTAAGTGTACCGATGCTAGACCAGACAGATTAGGCTCAAATATCAGTTGTGTGTATCAGCTGTGTGACTTGATGCTGTGACCCTGAACTAGTTCTGTAACTTCTCTGCACCTACACCACAGGCTCTTTTGAGGAGCAAACATGTATAAACTGCTTACAATAGTGCTGGGGACAGGAAATACTTAGGAACTGTTCATCATACAATAATCTGCTGCTACAGTTAAAAATAACAGTACTTAATTACATAACACAGCCTAGCTCAGTTCTGTTTTGATCTTTCCATCTTCAAACTGACTGATTCATTCAAAGGAAATACTTTTATAAAAACAAAAAAGAAACACATTGGCCTTATTCGGAAATTCATTAAATAAAGCATAGGAGATATACTCTAGTATCTCCTCAGATCATATAAATCTTTCACCTTTCACTAAATAAAGCACAGAAGAAAATGGAGTAAAAACATTGAAACTCCTAAGGAGACCAGGAAATATGTACATGTCTTGTCACGTGTGTGCTTATGTGGGTCAAGTACAAACCCCAGCTCAGCTGTCAGGATATATCTGGTGCTTCTCTGTGTAGCACCCTAAACAACATTTTTAAGTCAGAAAGACCTCTTAAACCAACCTAGAGTAAAAATACTTTTCTATTTCAATAATTTTCTACAGGATGTGATCAACCAGTACTGACCTCATTCACTAAGTACCCACCACACCAACCTACTATAAATGCCTATATATTTAAATTATATATTTTTATTCAGGAAACTTTTGTTATTCTGATGTTTATTCATTTCCTCCACATTATTGAGAACTCAATCTACTATAAAGTACTTGTATATATGTTAAAATACTTGCAAACATAATTATATACAGGATGGGGCAAAAGTAGGTTTTCAGTTGTTATACAGAAAATAAAACAATAATAAATAAATAATACAGGAATAAACTGTGCTTTACATACTTGCAACTGTAAACCTACTTTTGCCCTACCCTGCCTGTATTATCTCATGACTTGGCTAGCAATAGCTGTGAAGTATAATTAAAACTGATCATACGTAAACATATTAATATTATAGATTTAGTACATCTGTATGCTAACAGTTTTTTTCAAGAAAATAATCAAACTATCCCATTATCAAAAAGGAAATATAACTTCCTATTGCTAAAAAAGCCCCAAGCCCCTAATGTACCTAGAGTAAGGGGAAGAATATTGTTTTATGAAACTCCCCAAAGAACCCAAACCTAGGGTGCAAATAATAGCAAACCACT